CAGCAGCAGCAGCAGCGACCAAGCAGCAGCAGCAGCAGGTACCGAGGAGGAGAAGGGTGGAGTTGAACCCCGCGAGGGGGGGGGAGGGTATAGTCCTGATATATCAGGTAACAGCACTCAGGTCCTGGGCTCCCACCCTCCTTGCTAAAGCAAGACAGACTCCAGCTAGCTTTCGTGATTATCGAGACGGATCTCAGGCCGACATCCCGCTGACCAGCGCTGTGATTCCATTGGGAATGCAATGGCAAGCCCTGTGCAGCTGGACGCATGGTCTGAGACTTTGTTTGGACACTGGGGCCGACATCTTTGTTGCTGCTGGGAACTTGTCTTGGCCGCCTTGAATCCAATGGCTCGGCTTTTTTGGTGTGGCCCTGGCATGTAATATGCTGTCAGTGGCTTTCCAGCAGATCTACAACAAATCGCATACATGTTGGTTTATGCTTTGTGGCCTGCGCTTTTGTCTGTAAGATCTTGATAATGGATTGGTGGGCATTGTTGACCAATGCCTCGCCTTCATGTTGGTCTGCAGTCCGCGGAAATACCACGGCTGCGGGTAGGGGCAGTCTCAACTACCCGCCGTGATGTGTGTACAAAGCTTTCTGTTGGACCCGAGCGATCTGTGTGCTCTGCTCACGATCACGCCCAGGGACGTGCCCGAATTGTTCCGCTATGAAGCAACGAGTAAAACCGTCCAAAGAGCCACTGCTTTTGCTGCACCTGAAGAAGTGTTTTTTGGTTTGTTGGCTTGTTTTTCGGTGTCATGATCGTGTCATGCCTCACTCGTGTTTCCCGGGCATTGATCTCACTTTTTACGGTTGTCAAGTCGTGATCGATTTTTCCCTTGTCAGTCCCTTTCCCTTGTTGAACTGTCTTGTCGTTGATCGATTTGTTGAGTCGTGGCCAACTTGCATTATAAAACGCATTCATTACGTTGTTCATAAGGTTAAAAATCCTCCGGTTGGCTCTTTGAAAGCAACTATCACGTTCAAAAACACGTTTATCCTACTTGTTGTATAATTGCATTACGAATATATATATATATATTATAGCTATTAGTAGCTTCTGGTTACTAGTAGTAAATGCCCTTGTGACGTTCGTAGCGATGCACTTGTTAGTATAAGTTCATCCATGTTCCCGCTCGCCTGGACTCCCTGAAGCCTCGCCCACGGAGCTTCCAAAGCCACGCACGCCCCGCGAGGCTCGCGGAAAGGCGCGCGTCGGACGCAGGGCATCTCGACGCAGGGCATGGCTCAGGCGCGACCGCCCCAGGCGCAACATGAGAGCTGTAGGAGCTTTCTGAAAGAGTTGGTGAAGTTGGTAGTGATCTCGAAAAGGATGGCACAAACACGGGAATCTATCAAGATTGTGGCATGGAGTTCACAGACCTTGATTCCTGCATGTTTCGTTATGTTTCGATATCATGGTCAATCTTTATGTGCAAAGGTGATTGGAGTGTTCAAATATATGCAAATCCGACCGTATCAATCTGCTGGCAAGCAGTTCAGCATGTCACATGTCGATTGTCGACGGTCTCGGAGAAATAAAAGGCTGCGTGCTTCTTGTCAAGTCGTGCACTCGTGCACATGCCCGTGCAACGTACTGCCCGTGTGTCACAACCGAGTCCAACACTCTTGTACAACCGAAGGTGTTTTCAGCGAATCTGTCTCTTTCACACCGTCCGAAATCCCTTTGACAGAAGGGAAGCGCCAAGACCGAATTTCGATGCAGGTCCTCCGGCCGCCACCAACTTGCTACTCTGAATAAGGCCTGAGGGGGGAATTTTAATCTACCAGGGTCCTGTTGGAACCAAGCAACCTCACGGGTTGGTTCTTCCAATCCCACCACGTCATACTACATTAACTAAAACCTGCTGAACCCGAGCCCTGTGTGCTGACCCCCTCCCAGACTCTTTGGGCATGGCCCAACGCTGGGGCACAGAACAAAAATCCAATCATCCAGACTTTTGGAAACCAAGTTGGGACACACTTGCGTCGGTGAGGCTCTTGTTGGCGATGCTTCAATACCTGGCATGTATGGTATATACTTGAGCGGGGAAACACGAAAGGTAGAGACGGACCGAGTAGCTGTCGGGACCTT